GGGGGGCGTGTCCTCACCGCGGGCCCACACCCTGCCGTCCTTGCCAGCCTGCCTCTGCTCCGCCGAGGGCTCCCTGCACGCGGCCTGCGACCCCCGCAGCGGGCAGTGCAGCTGCCGGCCCCGCGTGACAGGGCTGCGGTGTGACGCGTGTGCTCCCGGCGCCTACGACTTCCCCGCCTGTGAAGGTGAGCCTCGCGCGGGCCGCGTGTGCCCTCCGTGTGCGGTTGTCCTCCTCGTGCAGGCCCATCGGCCTGTGTTCATGGGCTTCAGGCAGGCGCGTGTTCCCAGAGCTGTCTGCACAGTCCATGTTCACACACACGTCTGCAGGCCACGCGTGCTTGTCGCGTGGTCATGACTGTGCCCTGCGGTGGGGAGGGCGCGGGGACCAGAGAGAGCAGGCACAGCCCATGGCCTCACGCCCGCCCACGTGTGTGGGAGGCACACCGGCCGGCTCCCTCGCAGCCACGGGGCCGGGCCGGGCCGCAGAGGCCCTTGGCCATCGGAGTCAGTGACCAAGAAATGACCGCAGGCCGGGTCTCTCCACAGCTGGCTCCTGCCATCCTGCCGGCCTGGCCCCGGCCAGTCCCAGCCTTCCTGAGGTAAGTCCCGGTCAGCCCTCAGTGGGGGTCAGCCCATCACTTCCAGGAGACGGTCACTTCCCCGGCCGCTCTGTCGCCTTGGCAACCTCCGGGCCCATTTGGTCCCCTGGCTGGTCCTCTGTCCCCGTTCCGGGGACATGCCAGAGATGGGGCCGTGTCGGGGCTCCAGGGTTGAGGGTTGAGGGTAGAAGGGCAGGGACCCATCCTGACCCTCAGTCTCACCTTCTCCCAGGCACAGGCCCCCTGTACGTGCCGGGCCCATGTGGAGGGGCCCAGCTGCGATCGCTGTAAACCCGGGTTCTGGGGGCTGAGTCCCAGGAACCCTGAGGGCTGCACCCGTGAGTCTGTGGGGTCGGGGGGGAGTGCGTGGGAGTGCTGGGGGAGGGGAGCAGCGCCGGGAGGTGAGGGCCGGCCCCACAGCGTCCAGGCCCGCTCTGCTCTCCGCCAGGCTGCAGCTGCGATCCCCGGGGCACGCTGGGCGGACTTACCGAGTGCCAGCCGGTGAGTCTGAGGGCCGAGCTGCCCAGGGGCTGTGGGGCAGGCATGGCCAGACCGCACCCCCCCTCCTCCCCCCCAGCTCGGTCTCACCTTTCCCCTCGGCCGCAGGGCGACGGCCAGTGCTCCTGTAAGCCTCACGTGTGTGGCCAGACCTGCGCAGCATGCCGGGATGGCTTCTTCGGGCTGGACCAGGCCGACTACTTCGGCTGCCGCAGTAAGTGCCCGGCAGCCCTCAGCCCGCGTCCTGGGGGAGGCCGAGGCAAGGCAGGGACGAGTGAGGCGGGCGCCTGGGTCTGGGAAGGCCTGTGCTGGGCACGGGAGGGAGGGGCTGCTCTGGTCTTCCTCCCCTCCTTCCTGCGCCCCTGGCAGACATCTCTGATCAGTCCCGGGGTCTGGTTATTGTCCAAAGCCCCGGGCAGCCCCTGGTGGTCAGTAGGAGTTGGCCTCTCAGCCCCTGCTGCTCTCCACAGAGAGTGGACAGAGCCCCAGGGGCCTGGGTGGCCGCAGCAGGATCCGGAGCCCAGTGTGGGCAGAGTGGCGGGGCTGGGTGGGGGCCAGCCGTTGACCTTGCTCCTTCCCACCGCAGGTTGCCGCTGTGACGTCGGTGGGGCGCTAGGACAGGGCTGTGACCCGAGGACGGGCGCCTGCCGGTGCCGCCCGAACACCCAGGGCCTCACCTGCAGCGAGTGGGTGCCCCCACTTCCGGGGCCGGGGGGCAGGGGGCTGGCAAGGCAGCTGACCTGCTAGAGTGCTAGAGACCCTGCGGGCTGCCCCTGACCACCCCTGCCCTGGCCAGGCCGGCGCGAGACCACTACCTCCCTGACCTGCACGACCTGCGGCTGGAGCTGGAGGAGGCGGCCACGCCCGACGGCCACACCGTGCGCTTTGGCTTCAACCCCCTCGAGTTCGAGAGCTTCAGCTGGAGGGGCTATGCGCAGATGACACTCATCCAGGTGGGGGAGGGGCTGCCCCTCCCTGATGTTGGCTTCACGCCCCCCACCCCCACCCCTGTGGCCGGGAAGGGGGGCGGGCTGGGAATGGCCAGGGAGGGGCCACCCTGATTCTCCGTGCCCCTCCCCCCCAGCCCAGGATCGTGGCAAAGCTGAACGTGACCTCCCCCGACCTCTTCCGGCTCGTCTTCCGCTACGTCAACCGTGGGCCCACCAGTGTGAGCGGGCGAGTCTCTGTGCAGGAAGAGGGCAGGTTTGCCACCTGCAGCAACTGTGAGTGCCTGGGGGCCGCCCTGCTCCCCCACTGCCCGTCCTGACCCGCCCCTGCCCCCCTCCACTCGTCCCAGCCCCACCTCGGACCCCTGAGTGGGTGGGGGGCCAGCCTGCACCCTGGCCCTGGGGCAGCTGCCGCCCAGGGTGGCCGGTGGGTGGGGAGTCTAGGAGTCTCCCGTTCCGTGTCCCCAGGCACAGAGCAGAGCCAGCCCGTCGCCTTCGCGCCCAGCACGGAGCCTGCCTTTGTCACTGTGCCCCAGAGGGGCCTCGGGGGGCCCTTTGTGCTGAACCCTGGCACCTGGGCCCTGCTCGTGGAGGCCGAAGGGGTGCTCCTGGTGAGGCGGGGGCTGAGCGGGCTGGAAGCGGGCCCGGGGAGAGGGCCAGCGTACCGACCTCTCCCCCTGCCCGCCAGGACTACGTGGTTCTGCTACCCAGCACTTACTACGAGGCTGCGCTCCTGCAGCTGCGGGTGACCGAGGCCTGCACGTTCCGGCCTGCCGCCCAGCGCTCCGGGGAGACGTGAGGGCCGGCCCGGCAGGGTGGGGGGCCTGACCCTCCCGGGGCCGCGGGCCACTCGTCCCTGCTGACCACAGTCGTGTCGCCCCTCCCGCACCCCAGCTGCCTCCTCTACACCCACCTGCCCCTGGATGGCTTCCCCTCAGCTGCTGGACCCGAGGCCCTGTGTCGCCATGACAACAGCCTACCCCGGCCTTGCCCCACGGAGCGGCTCAGCCCCTCACACCCGCCTCTGGCCGCCTGCCTGGGCAGTGACGTGCGTGTCCCTGGGACCTCGTGGAGGGGCAAGGAGGGCCAGGACCTGGGGAAGGCTTGTCCTTGGCCTGGAGGACAGGGACGGGGTGGGGTCCACGCTGCCAGGACAGGACACAGGTTTGACCTGGGGCCTCACTCGTAGATGGGGTGTCAGTGACCCCTGCCCTCCGGTTCGCTCCAAGGACCCAAGCTAGGCCTCTGGGCAGCAGGCCTTGGCGAGGCGGGGGAGGCTCGGAGTGAGCAGAGGCTGGAAGGCCAGGGGGCCGTGGGGGTGTCCTGGAGGGGTGCCCCGGGCAGCAAGGACGACGGGGGCACAGACTCTGGCACCGGGGGGCAGGCTGTGGGAGCAGAGGGTGGTAAGGGCCGTGTCCAGCAGTGTCCGGGGAGGACATGGGGGCCTGGGCTGGGGCCTCTGGTCACGTTCCCCCCGCCCCCCAGGTGGACGTTCAGCTTCAGGTGGCAGTGCCCCGGCCGGGCCAGTACACACTGGTGGTGGAGTACGCCAGTGAGGACACCCAGCAGGAGGTGGGCGTGGCCGTGCACACCCCCCAGCGGGCCCCGCAGCAGGGGGCACTCACTCTCCACCCCTGCCCTTACAGGTGTGCAGGGAGGGCCGAGGATTCCAGGCGGGGGAGCTGTGTGGGAGGGCGCGGGCCCCAGGGCTGCCCCGCCCCCTCCCCGCTGACTGCCCTGCCCCCATCCCGCAGCACCCTGTGCCGGGGCGCTGCCCTGGACACCCAGCACCACCTGGCTGCCTTCCACCTGGACACGGAGGCCAGCGTCCGGCTCACGGCCGAGCAGGCGCGCTTCTTCCTGGTAAGGCCCTGAGCCCTCTGCGGCGCAGGCCCCCGGGACTCCCCCGTGGCGTCAGGCCCTTCGGACAACATTAAGCAGCGTGGTGGAAGCGTGGCGAGCCCAGGGGGCCGTCAGCAGCAGCACCATTACTGGGCGCCCACCCACGTTTCTTCCGGAACCTTCCTCACCTGCAGGGTGGGGTATTTTTCCCAGTGGGCACAAAATACGGACTTATTTGGAGAGCATTCCGCTCTCCACACGGGGAGGGGGGCGTGTGATGGATCGGAGCTGGGGCAGAAGAAAACCATGTTCACAAGGGGCCGCTTCATGGGATAACTGCCGAGAACACCCCGGTGGGAGGAAGGGGTTGTTCGGCGGGGTCGTCGGCGTCATGGTTAGCCTGCTGCTAGACCCTCGTCAGCGCTCTGAGGGCTGCGTCTGGCGAGGCGGGCCCCTGCAGACCCGTCTGACGCCCGGAGCCCACAGGAGGTATCCACTCGCTACGGGACCGAGCGAGTGACGTCTGCCTCCCTCGAGCCTTTCACAGATGCATCACCGATGCACCTGTTTTTGTAAACGCATCACTGTTGACGAGAGACTTGCAGACGGAAGGAGCCGCCCGCGGCCGCCCGCCGCTCAGGCTCGCGGGAGCCCGTGCGTCCCACCCGCGGTGCTAGAGCGCAGACCCCGCCGCTTCCGCCCGACTCAGTGGCGTCGGGCACGTGTGGCCCGTCCTCCCCTCAGCCCTGTGGCGGGCACCTGGCTTGTTGTAAAGTGTCCACAGAACCACGTCACGGGCATGCCCGGCGTGCCCCCGCCCCCAGCACCCAGGCCAGGAAGCCACGCGCCCGCCCCCCGACACCCCGCGGTCCCCGGTGGCCACCTCCCAGCTCTGACAGCCGCTTCCCCAGCCCGTCCCACAGGCCAGGCTTCCGTGCTGCGTCTCATGCTGACGCCAGGTCGGCCACGCGGCGTTCCGGTCTTCCCCGTGGGGCGTTTCCAGACAGTTCTGACGCCTTGGGTCTTGCCATATCTGCCTCGCACGCACCTACATCGTGCTGGACGGCACGGGGCAGAGAGCCCGCGCACGAGCCCGTGCTCGCCCAGTGCCTGTCCGTGCCGGCTCCCTGGAGCTGGAGGGGAGGCCGGTGGCCGACGTGTAGAGTTGGAGCGACAGGGTGGGTGGCGGTGAGGAGAGCTGAGACGTGCTCCTGGCCCAGAAACTGCACCTGAGGGCTGGGGCTCGAGCAGCCCGAGGAGGCAGGGACTTGGTGCAAAGAGGGGGACGCAGGTCGGATGTAGGGGCGTGGGAGGGGCCCGGCCTGCGTTTCCACGTCCACGCCTGGTCATCTGTCTGCAGCACAGCGTCACCCTGGTGCCCATGGAGACATTCAGCGTGGAGTTCGTGGAGCCCCGGGTCCGCTGCGTCAGCAGTCACGGTGCCTTCAGCCCCAGCAGGTGCGGGCGGGAGGGGCCCGGGCAGCCGGAGGGGCACGCCCGCCAGGTTGCAGGGCCTCACCTCCACGCTCGTCCCCAGTGCCACCTGCCTGCTCTCTCGCTTCCCGAAGCCGCCCCAGCCCATCATCCTCAGGGACTGCCAGGTGTTGCCGCTGCCCTCTGGCCTCCCGCTGGTCCACTCGCAGGACCTCACACCCAGCGCACCCCCATCGGGGCCCCAGCCTCGGCCCCCCACTGCCGTGGACCCCGATGTGGAGCTCACGCTGCTGCGCCACCCCCAGGTGAGGGCCCGGGCCAGGGGGGACAGGGGCAGGACTCCAGGCCCTGCCCCTCGCCGGGTCCCCACCCCTGCGCCTCTCACCAGAGCCCCTCGCTCCCCGCAGGGCACCGTGGTCTTCACCACCCAGGTGCCCGCCCTGGGCCGCTACGCCTTCGTGCTGCACGGCTACCAGCCCGACCACCCCACCTTCCCCGTGGAGGTCCTCATCAGCGGGGGCCGGGTCTGGCAGGGTGAGTGGCCGTGGGGGGCCGTGGGGGCGGACTCCTCACACAGCCGCACCGTGTGGTGGTCGTCACAATCCGTGGACAGATCCGTCCTGCCGTCAGTTCTCGAACGGGGGCCCCGGGCCCAGCGCAGATGGCAGCCCCAGATTCCGCTCCCGACTCCATTTTAGGAGTCAAGGTTCACCCCGTCACATACACGGGTAACTGAGGGTTCGCCGTGGGACACACGGTGATGGTACTTGTGTTCCTGCGTGTGTGTGTGTTTTGTTTCCGCGGGGCCAAGCTCAGGGATCTGCACCCAGTGGCCTTTGTGCGTGGCCACCCCTGACTCGTGTCACGTGAGTGGGCCCTGCCAGGCGTCCTCAGGCGGGTCACAGATGCACGCTCCTGGGCGGGCGGGGCACTGTCCCGTGGTAGCTCTTCCTCCCCGCTGACTCCAGGAGTGGCCCTGGGCTGGCCCGTGGGGTGTGGGGGACACACTGACCTGCCTTTCCTTCCCCCCAGGCCATGCCAATGCCAGCTTCTGCCCGCACGCCTACGGCTGCCGTACCCTGGTTGTGTGTGAGGGCCAGGCCGTCCTGGACGTGACTGACAGCGAGCTCACCGTGACCATGAGGGTGCCTGAGGGCCGGTGGCTCTGGTTGGTGAGTCCAAGGCTGCCATGTCTGCACGTGGAACTCTCGGGGCCTGACGTGGGGCTAGCCTCTCTGGGTGTGGACGTCCTGACCCTGTTCAGGGACCAGCCGTCCTCCCAGCTGTCACGCCATCGGCCACCCAGCCCGGGTGCGTCCCCCATCTGGCTGGGCCCAGCCCCATGCCAGGTGCCGGGGAGCAGCCTTCAGGGGCCTCCAGGCCAAGCTGTGAGGCTGTGGTGTGGGCGAATACCTAAGAGCCGAGATGTGGTCCACCAGTCCCCTGGGGCCCTGCTGGTCAGGGTGGCCTTCCTGGAGGAGGAGGCCTGGACAGATGGGGAGGGAGGGCAGAGGTATGTCTGGCAGGCAAGGATGGGAGGGGGCACCAGGAGGCCGGGCACTCCCCACAGCCCCCAAGCTTCCGTTAGGCCACAGAAGCCGACCTCCCTCTGAGCAGCCCAGTGGGGGCCCAGCACCTGCCAGCCTTGCTGGGGCACAGGCTGGGGTGTGACGTGGGCACTACTGTCTTGGCTGTCCGGCTGGACCCTGGCCAGTCACAGAGACCCTGGCGATGTGCTTTGGCTGGCAGGCTCTGGTATACTTCCCTAGCCCGGGTCCTCTCCGGGGCCCACGGGAAGGTCACCAGGCCCTGATCCCCTAGGAGTATGTGTTGGTGGTCCCTGAGGAGGTCTACAGCTCCAGCTATCTCCGAGAGGAGCCCCTGGACAAATCCTATGACTTCATCAGCCAGTGTGCCAGCCATGGGTACCACATCAGGTGGGCCGGGG